TCAACTGGCACCTCCACATCTTCTTGTTCCTGTCAAAGGTAAGTCCCTCTGCCCCAGAGGTTTTCTGGAGAGCAGCGCTAGCTGTGGTCATTCGGCAGGAGGAAGGAGATAGGATTTACAGCAGGTCACTGGTGGGCTTGAAGGCACCGACCTCCATCCAGGGCAAGGTCTACCTCTTGGTCGGTCTGCTCTCGGCTCAGCAGCCAGCCGTGAGGGCCAAGTGATGAGGCCACCCTTAATCCCCTGGCTTTCACTGACAGGTTTTCAAAGTTGGCTGTCGATGGGGAACCTCACCCTGCTCGGGTGCTTCCAGAGCCGTACTCCTTCTTCTCCCAGGACTGAGCGCCAATGCACAGAGATGAGCCAACGAATGGTTAAAATGGTGAACAAGCTACAGAAACCTGCCTGGATTGCCCTAGGCGGAGCAGATCAGCAGATGGACAAAAAGGATGTGGCCAGTGACCCCCTGTTACTGCCTCCCTCCACAGAGAGCAGAAACACGGGGCTCTGACTGAGAAAACAGCAACATGGACTTGAACTAGGTCAAACTGCCAAACCCTTAACCCTCAGAGCCCTGCTGATCTGCAGGCTTGACTGGCCAGCATGGGTTTTTGAGGTATTAACCTCACGGTGCCTGTCCCTGTGCTGGCCCAGGGGGAGGAAAACCCACTCACGGCTCCTTGCAGGAGTACATGATTTGGGGTGCTGGCCCTCCTCCTCCAGCACAGCTCGGCCAGTGCTGGCAGCTCCTTCCCAGCCCACTTCTTCCTCTGACAAGGACTTGCAAATCCCATCACGGCTACCTGTCCGGAGCTACAAATGCCCCTGCAAAAGTCCCTTCTTAAGGCGAACACCCAGGTGAGGGCTGCAGAAGTTCAACTCAGCAGTTGTGTGAAAGGAGAACTCACTGGGCGACCTAAAGGTCTCAGAAAGAAAACCAAGATCAATACTTGCAGAGATCTGTAGCATGTTTGTGCCTGAAAACAACAGCTGGGACCTGGCCTCTCTTTCCTTGCCCAGCGCTTTGCCCCAGGGCTCCTGGCGATGCCCTGGGTTACCGTGTCACCTCTCTCCCCTGTGCTCTCACACCGTGCCCTCATTCTCGCTCCCTGCCGGCTTCGGGGATGAAGAGGTTGAAATTCCTGTTCATGCACTCTTGGCACCAGTGAAAAAGCAGCTACAGTTCTAGCTCACTGTGCACTGCTCATACTTACAGCTTAAACATTGCCTTCTACTTGAAAGAATAAAGATAAAATGTCAGGAATTCACAGTTTTTATTCTCTTTCTTATGCCCACCCATCTTCCCCTGCCATCGATGTCAATGACTCAAAGTCCTCATCGTACAGTAGCCTTTGCCAGTGTGGCACTCAAAGGGTTAACAAACCACGGCTTCTTGGACAGATAAGACATAAGCTCATTCACCGGTAGGAACGCGTGGACAGCTACATGACAGAACACCTTAGGGTTTCCTGTAGCGATTCTTTGGGGTTTCGCCACAGCCAGTGATGTCACAGGAGAGAACGTTGGGCTTCTTCCCCAAGCCGATGCTTCCCAAAAGATCGGGAAGCTCACGAGTGATGGCCTTCTCGATCTTCTCTAGGAAACACCCTCCCATGTAGGAACACTGCTGAGACAGCAGCTTAAAACTGGTGATGGGGTTGATGCCAAAGAAGTCCTTGTAAGCCTCACGGTTGGGGAGGTCAAATTTGCTGACATTGGTCTTTGCCAGAATGGACTTAAAGATAAAGAACTTGTCAGGATCTTCCACAATGTCCCTGAACACCAGTTCTCCATCACTAAAGAAGGTCATTTTGTCCTTGTAGGTCTGTAGATAGCGATCAACCAAAAGGGCGTGGATGCGTACCCGGATGGCGTGCTGGCGTATGAAGGCGATCTTATTTTCCATCCTGTTCTCAATCACCTGGTTGAGATCCTCCAGGAGCGATATCTCTTCTTTGAGGAACAGGTCTTTGTGGGTATCTGGGTGGTACTCCTGGGGCCAGAAAGAGCTCACGTACACTCTGGGTGGCTCCGTGACGTTGATGAGAGGAGCCAGGCTCCAGAACAAGGCACCATAGACTCTCATGAGCTCCTGGGTAGCCAGGCTGTCAGCTTTGTTCAAGATGATTCGGATCTGGGACTCACGGCCCTTCAGCTGGCGAAATAGCATCTCCAGCTCCAAACCCACGTCCAGCTTCGTAGGGTCAAAGACAACGAAGATTAGATCAGCTCTGTCAATGAACCACTGGCACACGTCGTTGAATGGGTAACCTTGAGGAGAGGAAAGAGAGAAATCCAGAAGAAATGGCCAGCATAGCAGGGGTCCTTTCAGGTCAAGGGCCAGATAAACCTTGAGCCTACCATGCCTCACGTCTGGGTTGGACAGGGTGTGAGATACAGCTGACTTCCCATGCAGCCTAGAACCTGTTTCTCGTGAGCACTTGAGTTTCTTGGCATGAAAACCCACCCCTGTATGTCTCGGGCTGTGACTACGCATCTCCCTCAGCCTCGCCTCCAAATCTTCTTTCTCTCCGCTGCTGGCCACAGACTCCTGCTGACCCTGTGAGCAGGTATTGGCCACATCATTGCTTTCCCCAGTGCGCGCCAAGTGGGCCAAGAAGGCCTGCTGATCTGTCCTGGCAGCCCAGGTGCTGTGGGGATGGGCTGGTGCTTCTCAGGGCCCTGCTGCAGCACCAGCCATTGGAAAAGCCTGGATCCAAGGATGACAAACGAGGCATTAAATGCTGAGCTGAGGCAGACAGTCAACAGCCCAGGGAGTCCCCAGGAAACACCTTGCCGAAACGCCTGTCTGTCACACCTCCAAAGAGCAGAAATGGCTGCTCTAGCTGATCACCCTTGGGTATATTCCCCAGGTCCCAGCTGCTGCTGCCATAGCCATGGGCAGACAAATGTCACCACCCCCTTCAATGCAAGACAGCTTTTGTAGCCTAGGGCTCTTCCCCGTTGTACTTCAGCCATCTTTGTCATCTCCCATCATTACGCCATCTTTTCTGGAGTCCCTTAGATGAACCCAGGAAACCCCTACCTCGTTCTTGCTGCTTGCGGTTTTCAATGATGCCCGGCGTGTCCACAAAGGTGACTCGCTCCAGCAGTTTGTGGGGCACCTCGATCCCTATCAGCTTCTCCAAGAAGTTTTGCCCAAATTTCTCCAGGGGCGAGAAGGAGCGGGCGCTGTCAGCAGCCATCACAATGCCCTCAATGGTCTTCAGCTTGGGGCCGTGCATGATGACAGTGAATTCGGAGGTGGTGGGTTCTGCCCCTGCCCAGCAACGAGAGGAGCAGCAGAGCTGTGAAATCCATGCCAGACAACGGACATGACAGGGCTGGCCTGGGACTAGCCAGGGAGCTCAAGAGCATCGCTCGCTTGCCAGGAGATGCTGGGGGAAGGCAAGCAGCAGGGCTATGAAATTCTTGCCAAACTTCTTGAGAAATCGCCAGCAGGGCTGTTTTCTGTGGGGACTGGTTGTTCTGGAGGTGGCCTGACTGCACAAGGTGCCCTGGAAAACCACCTCCCCTGGGAGCCCTCGTTACTGTGGCACAGAGCTGGCCACGGACATCTGCCCTCAGCTGCAAGATGACATCTGTGGGAGCAGGGAGGAGGGAAGGGGAATGGCTTTTCTCCTGGGAGGACAAGTAAATTAGCTCCACATGAGGAGGGAAGGGGAGAAGACAAAGGCGAGTCACCCTTGTGACGTGACTGTTGCTCTCACGGTTGAGGCCAGAGGTGGTGAGCCCTGCGCTCCAGGGCAGGGATGCTGTGGGGAGAGATGCCCTTCTCCTCCCTGGGGAGGGTGGACAAGCCCTGGGCTGTGGTGGGGAGCGTCTCCCTCCGTATGGCACCACAGCCAGGTGGCACGGACCAAATCGCAACCTCCCTGCCGTAACGAGAGGGATCAAAGAGACGTGGCCGGGAATTGTTGACGGCACAGATGCAGAAATGCAGGTGCCAGCACGCCCTTGGCAGAGCAGGGAGGGAGTGGTGAGCGTGGTACCTGTGTAGAGCTGGTAGGGAGTGTCGTCCAGCCCAAGGAGGTAGTTTATCATGGAAGATTTGCCGACGCTCCACGGTCCCAGGAATAGCACCATTGGCTTGGAAGTGATCTCCCCATCTGCAGAGAGGGGAAATAACAAGAGGAAGTGAAGAAACAATAGCCGTCGCCGCTGCGCGATTAACTCCCGGCTGTAACGAGCATCCCATCTGAGCGGCACGGTGATGCTGCCGGGGAAACAGCCACCCTTCGGGGCCGCCAGCCATTCACGAGCCAAGGCATCGCCCAGTGACATGCCCCAGTGTCTGCAGGAGCGGGATGTCACCATGCTCTGTGGGAGACCCCACCTCACTCGTCTGACATCCTCCAAGGTTTGGCCCTTCTTAAACTACGGGAGGACTTGAAGGTCTTTTATATCTTGTCTCGGTTTGGTTCTGGTTTAGCCAGAGTGAGTTTGGGGCTGGCTGCGGCAGGGAGTTTTGTTCGAAGGCAGCCGCCGCAAAGAACGGGACATGCGAAGGAGGTGGCCATGCCGCAACCGGGCGAATGCCTCGTGCAAAGGGAGCTGGCGTGGTTTAAGGAGCAACGCTGGCGCAGTGCTTGGTAAGCGCGGTGCGAGCTTTGTGCCGGCTGCCTGCAAGCCTTACCAGCACACCTTCACAGGGATCTGCCCCCAGGTCGTGGCTCCCAGCCCTCTGGTCAAGCAGAAGGTCCCTGCCTACGTGTGGGCTGGGTGCGAGGCTCCAGCCCGGTGAGGGGAGGGCAGGCCAGGCAAACAGCCCCACTTTGGGCTTGGGGAAGGGCAGGAGGAGAATGAACTACAGTCGCCATCCTGCACTCTTCAAGTTCCACAGTTTGTTAAAGGGCTCTAGGAGGCTGGTGATGGGCCCATAAGGACCTGTCCCCATGATCGGTCCAGGATCACAGAGGTCCCTGCACACACGTAGCAATCCCTGCTCCAGCAGGACTCATGCAATCAGCCTGTGCCCACACTGCTCCCCCCACTCCAGACCCCAGGCGACTGGGCAGTCAGCTGGCAAAGCCAGAGAAGCCCCTGGCCCACGCCAGCCCCCAAGCCATGCCCAGAACTGCCGGGAGCCTACTAGTTGGCTTGAGCCCATGTCAGGCCAGAAATGGAAGTAAAAACTGGATGAGTGAGTTCCTGTTGATGGGAACTTTCCCTGTCCTTGTCCTGCGCTCAGGGTGGGAGAGGGTCCCTCCCACTGCTGCCAGCAGGAGTCTGGCCAGGGGAAGGGCTAGATGCCAGCGGGGGAGCTGGAGGCTGCTGTCTCTCAGCCAGAGCTGAGCCTTTCCCCATGGCCCAGAGCAAGGAGGTGTCCTTGGGGGACCCCTGCTGTCCTCGGCACCCTCTCTTGGGCCCCATGCCTAAGGCAGAGCTATTTTCCCTGTGGTGACTGAGAGACCCCACTGCTCCGTGACTGCTGCCCCCACAGGAGCC